GACATTTCTCGTCCATCTATTATTCAAACTTGGAAACGATTTTAATAAACGTCAATCTAATGACGTGTTTAATTGTTTATAGGTTAAACAAAATGGATAACCTAATTATTTGACAGATGTTGTCAATTTCCGATTTAGTTAACGTTTAGTTCCGCAATCATAATAATAATTACTTCATCAAAGTCAAATGACATTTCTCGTCCATCTATTATCCAAAGTTGGAAACGATTTTAATAAACGTCAATCTAATGACGTTTAATTGTCTATAGGTTAAACAAAAAGGATGACAGATGTTGTCAACGTCATCAATGTCTAATTCAGATGATTCAATTATGACGTAACTCTATCAGTAGTTGGTACAGCTGACAGACATTCATTTCTTAATATTACACAGAACTAGTTGATTTTATCATAGATTTGTGCAAAAAAAAAGTCAATTTCTATGACATTGACTAAGTTAAATTGAATTAAGTATGGTATCAAAACATTTCCAAACAACATCATCAAACACGATAGTTAACGCAATAATAATTATAATTACTTCATCAAAGTTAAATGACATTTCTCGTCCATCTATTATTCAAACTTGGAAACGATTTTAATAAACGTCAATCTAATGACGTGTTTAATTGTCTATAGGTTAAACAAAATGGATAACCTAATTATTTGACAGATGTTGTTAATGTCTGATTCAATTATGACGTACTTCTATTGTGAAAATTCAGCTGTCAGCAGTGGTTGGTTCACCTGACAGACATTCATTTCTTAATATTACACAGAACTAATTGATTTTATCATAGATTAGTGCAAAAAAAAAGCGAATTTCTATGACATTGACTAAGTAAAATTGAATTAAGTAAATAATAATCAAATAATCAATGCATGTTGTCGAGGCTATAAATCAGTATTAATTATGGGCAAAAAATAATGGGTTTGGTAATTGGTTGAATATTATTATTAAAAATCCATTGATCGAATGTAAACGGAGGATGGGAGAAGAGAAAAAAAAACACTTGATGAATATTCCGTGCACAGAATGAATTGAAAACCGGATTTCGAAGAGGAAGAAAGGAAAAAAAAAATGAAGATGTTCACAAATGCTGCGTTTTCCTCGCGCTTTGGAAACGAGCAATTTTTTTGTTGTTGCTGTTAAGTAGCTGTCGGTTTTCTACTATTTTTGAATTGCAAATCGCGTGGAAAGACCTTGGCCGAACAGCAGCAAACAAACAATAGTTTAAAGTAAGTGTACGGTGTTAAGAGGAGATGGTGGAATGTTTGCTTAAGAATATATTTAAGCCGGTGGCAGAGGAGGCGAAACGAGACTGGTTTTCGAATCGCACGCAGCGAACACCGACCAGGATAAGGATGAAAAGGGAAGTAAAAAGTGAGTGAGAGAGAGAGAGGAAAAAAAGCTGAGAGGCTTTTCTCTTCGCACTTGATGTTGTCGTTTGCTGATGAGGATGAAGATGATGACGACGAGGATGAAGGAGAAGAAAAGGTGGTTGCTTGATATTTCCTGCTCCTCATCCTCGCGGCATTGTTATTATTTTTGTCATGTTTATACAACACCTCCACGGCTCGTTCAATTAAGATATTGAATTAGATAGGAGAGAATCCGCCTCCTCGAGAAGAACACTCACTATACTCCATCCATCCACACCATCCCTTTTTCTCTCCTCCTCAACAACTTCAGGTGGACGGACTTCGTGACTGGACGATTTGGACTCAACAATCGACGCCTTTGTCCGTCGCAACATCACTTATTCGCTCGAGAACCATTGAAAAGGACTAAAGAATCAAAGTACAACAGATTGTTTTTTTTTTCTGCAAGAATGTTAAGCGATTACTTTGAGTAAAGGGATGTGCGTCGTTCAAAGACCTTTAATCCCGTATTTATTTATTTATTTATGTTTTCGGGAAGACGTTCCAAAATTAGAGTTCCAAAAGAGAATGGGAAAACAAACAAAAAAAAAATGCAATCCAATTAAGTCCGATAAAAATAGTGGACGGCTATTTGCGGTCCCAGAGATGGCGCGCGCTCGCTCGCGCCACCGTTCTTCACTTATTCTTTATTGCTTTTGTTTTCTCGAGTTACTTGTTTTCTTGCTGTTCGCTAATTACGTGGAAGCTGCGACGGAGAAGGAGGAAATCCGCAAAAGGGTTTCGCGAAGACAGGGACAGGATATTTCTATGTTTAGACACGGCACGTCTTCTATACATCTCCTCTTTATTTAGTGTTAAATAGGGAATGATGTTTTATTCATTGTCGGCGAAGATCGATCAATCTTGAGAGATGCAGC